TTTCTGGAATATTTAACCCTTTCACTGCGGCGCGACCTCGGAGTAATCCATCACCAGGGACAGCGCGTTATACGCACGTCGGTTGCTACTCCGTGCAACCAGTGACCAAAACAGTACCTGGAGATTTGAAACTATTCGTAGGACTTAAAAAGTAATCGTTGCAAGTGAATGAAAAATATCCATTACTTATTTATTTTAAGTAGCCTTTTATGCTATCTTAATTTACATAACTCAATTTACAGATTTCATCAATAACAGTTGCTAATTACRTATAAAGAAAAAAGAATGATAAACAATTTTACATTATAAACGAATAAAGCTAACAAAAATATAATAGAAGAAATCTAATAATCCACTTCTGTATGGTATATCCTAAAACATGGATCAACACATAAAGCTACATTACATACCTTGCATTCATACATGGTTTCTCTACGAATTCTGTGATTACTGCGTACTGCACATTTTCGAACAGGATTTTTTTTTTTGGCAGACGGATTCATATATTTGCTTGGAAAATGCCTTTCAATAAGACGTAATGAGCTACCATCCATATTACTACCTCTTCGGTATGCAGCTGATGTTTTTAGATATTTCTCAAATATTTCAGTTATACGAGGTCTGTCCCAAAAGTATCCGACCTACCTCCATATTTCTCCTCTGAAGTTACTCTTCGTCGTTTGGCTTATGACATCCTTTAAAGTAGTCCCCATTTGATTGAATAACACGCTCCCAACGCCCTTTCCACTTTTGAAAGCAGTCCTGGTACTCGTTTTTCGGTATCGCCTTTAAAGCGTTCGTCACATTTTGCTGCAATTGTAGCAACGAATTTGTATTAAATTTTGCTTTAAACTGAAAAAGAGTTGTGCAGAGACTATCGAAATGATGAAGACAGCATTTTGGAACGAGTGTATGGGCAATACGCAAATAAAAGAGTAGTATAAACGGTTTAAAGATGGCCGCACATCTGTTGATAGTGACCCACGYTCTGGGCGACCTTCGACAGCAAAAACAAACTATAAAATCAAACGTGTGTTACTTGCAATCAATGAAGATCGTCGATTGACTGTGCGAGAACTAGAAAATGACCTTAGAATAACGAAAAGTAGTGTTTGGAGGATTTTAACTGAAGATTTGCAGATTTGCGATAACGTRCCAGCACATGTATCGAACCTCGTGCAGCAATATTTAAGTAAACATCGTGTTGTATAGCTTCGTCAGCCTCCGTACAGTCCCGACACAGCTCCCTGCGACTTTTGRCTGTTTCCAATATTGAAAATACCCCTTAAAGGACACCGATTTGACGATGTGCAAACGATTGAAACTAATGYGACGAACGCTTTAAAGGCGATACCGAAAAACGAGTACCAGGACTGCTTTCAAAAGTGGAAAGGGCGTTGGGAGCGTGTTATTCAATCAAATAGGGACTACTTTAAAGGATGTCATAAGCCAGACGATGAAAAGTAACTTCGGGGGAGAAATATGGAKGTAGGTCGGATACTTTTGGGACAGACCTCGTAAGTAATAAATGAAATGATGCGAACAATAACTCCTTACGTGATTTGCATTTATATATTACATAAGAGTTCCAAATACTTACAAAATCTAACAAATGAACAAAAAATTGTTTATACCATTTATAGATTTTTCTTGTACATTCAATAGTACTAATAACCATGTCCGTTTTATCGACAGCGCCCATAGAACTATTGTAGTCTAGAATATTTACGTCTGCTGTATATATCGATGGGCTYCTAAGAACGTATATATACGCCTACCGTGTATATTGATGGACTTCGCAGAACGTATATTTACGCCTGTTGTATATATTGATGGACTTCTGAGAATGTATATATACGCCCACCGCAGTGAAAGGGTTAAAAATGTGGGAATTTAAAGCTAATAACAAAAAACTACTTAACAAAAAAAAAGCGGAAGACCAARAAGGAGAAATTTGCAAATGGAAGAGAAGAGGTTGAAAATTCTTTTTCGCAATCACTTCCAGTACTCTCATCAGATTGAAAATTACCTTACAAGCAACTCTTGAATTGGGAGAATTTTTACACAAAGAACGCAACTACGAATATTTATTGACGTGTCATCTTAATCAAGATCAACTGGAAGTATGTATTATCGTTCTTATCTTGTATAATTTATCATTCTTTTAYTATTTTAACATTTTTACGTTTATCGTTTTCAGAAATTTTTTGGTATCATGAGAAGTGTTTGTCGCTGTAATGATTATCCGGAAACCATTCTATTTGGACAGGTTTTCCAATTACTATGTTCATATTCGCTAGTCACCCCTTCAAAAGAGTTTAATGTGAGGTCATTTCAATAGTTTGCCTTTAAGATATTAAAAATAACAAAAAAATGTTGCTCTAGTAATTAATTGAGTAGTTAATCAAGGTCTTGAGAGGGCAGTTGGATAACTCTTTATTTTGACCACAAAATATTATCCTAATTCATAAATAATAATTATTTTCTTCAAAATTATTTAAATTAATGAAACATTGTCTAAATTAATTATTGTTTGGAAAATCGTGTGATAATGAGGTTAGTTATGATAATTTATATAATACTCATTGTTCCTGCAGAATATTTTTTTTACTTATAGTACAAAGACCACTCTTTTTTAATTTGTTCTTTAATTGTTTAACATTCCACATAAAATATTAATTTTCTTCATACATTTTTTTTTTAAGACACCCAACTTCTATTTTTGATTTGAATATTTGCGCGACACGGAACGATCTATGGTGCTGCCCTCTCTTCCAAGTTTGACAAAAACGGATTTTCATACCGCAACGAGCATGCCACTGCCAGTTTATTTCTCAACGGACGTTTTTAGGTTAGTGTTGTCGACATTTTCTCATTTCTCTTCTCATTCTCTTTCTCATCATCGTTATTTAAAATCGATCGGTATTTTTCGAAAAGTTAATCAATTCGTATTGAAATATAATTAACTATAAAGTACATAACCTTAAATAATCTACAATGAAAATTATATTTTATTATAAAATAATCGATTCACGCGTTACCAGTGATATCGATAATTCGAAACGTTTCGATTTCAACCGTTATTCATTTTCGTAACGTTTTTYCTTTCATTATATTTGCCGGCATTCAATATTTAAATTATTTTCGATCTATAAAACAAAAGAAAGAAAGAAGAGAAAAAATATGGTTTTGAAAAGTGCATTGTTCTCATCAAAAGTACAATTCACTATTATAGGCAATGAAATATCAGCTCATTGCCTTTTTTCCAAAAGTTCTTGTGCACGTGTTCGTTCGTCAAAAACGTTCGTGATGGCAAATC